AGGTAGACCCTCCTCCCTTGACTGCGCCGGTTGAGGTCACTGGTGACTCAGGTCCTACTGAGGGTGGTCCTTCTCGGGGTGCTACTTCTAGGGGTGCTGAGCCTGGGGGTGCGGAGCCTGGGGGTGCTAAGCCTGGGGGTGCTGAGCCTGAGGGTGCGGAGCTTGAGGGTGTGGAGCCTGGTGGTGCTGAGCCTGAGTGTGAGGGGTCTGGGGGTGCTGAGCTTGGCGGTACTGACGCTGGAGGTTCTGGAGCTACTGAGGGTGCTGGCGCTGGAGGTTCGGGAGCTGCTGGAGGGCCTAGTACTGGTGGCGCTGGAGCTGGAGGTTCTGGAGCTGCTGAGGGTGCTCGTGCTGGAGGTTCTGGAGCCGCTGGAGGTACTGGTGCTGAGGGTACTGACACCGGAGGTTCTGGAGCCGTTGGGGGTGCGGGCGCTGAGGGTTCTGAGTCTGCTGTTGCGCGGTCTCCTTGGAGTAGCCGCCTTCGTCCACGTGTGCCTCTCACACCACAGCAGCTGCAGGATCGGCACGGTCGCCGTCAGCGTCGCGCTGCTGGAGCTAGGAGTGGTGCTGGTCCTTTGTCTACTGGAGGTGCTGGAGTCGCTGAATCTGGAGGTGCTCGTGCTGGAGACACTGAGGCTGGAGACCCTGGGACTGGAGGTGCTGGTTCTGGGGGTGCTGCTGCTGGAGACACTGAGGCTGGAGACCCTCGGACTGGAGGTGCTGGGTCTGGGGGTGCTGCTGCTGGAGACACAGAGGTTGGAGACCCTGGGACTGGGGGTGTCGACTCTGGGACTGGAGCTTCTGGAGCTGCTGGAGGTACGGGAGCTGCTGGAGGTACTGGAGCTGCTGGAGGCACTGGAGCTGCTGGAGCTGCCGGTACTGGTGCAGCTGCGCCGACACGACTGTTCTTCGCTCCGCCGTCTCCGTCGTCTCTGCCGCCGCCTGACTCTGCTCTTCGTCAGGTTGTTACTCTCCCGTCGTCTACTGGTCTTCCGTTACAGACTGGCTCACCGCTACCTGCTCCCTCTCCTTACACTGAGCAGACAGGCAGTCCTGCTACGCGTCGTGAGCCTGCGTCGCGTCCTGTCTCGCCTGTTCGTTCTGGTCGTACCGTTCGTCGTGTCGCTCGTGCGCGTCAGCCGGCTGTCCCCAGCGCACACCTTGTTGTCCGTCGTCCTTCCTCTGCTCCGCAGCCTGTTCCTCTGCCGTCTCCCCCTGCGTCCTCTCTGCCTGCCGTTCCGGACCCTGAGTCTGACCGGTTTCGTACTGAGCACCCTACTGTCACGCGTCTCCTGGCCACTGTTGTCACTGACCCGTCGTTTGAGTCTACTGCTGCGTCTGCCTTGGTCGCTGAGCTTGTTGACTTTGCTGCTGCCTGTCGTCTAGACTACGCCGCCAGTCTTGTTGCTGAGTCTGAGTCTGTCTGTCCTCCGTCCGTCGGGGGTGCGTGTGCTCTTAGCACGGACGTCCTTGAGGACAGGCAGGAGGAGTTCCAGTGTCTTGCTGCTGCTTTACCTCATCTTGTGTCCTCGCTACTTGCCCCTGAGGGAGACCCGGATGCACCAGACATCCCGACTCCGCGCTCTTACGCAGAGGCGATAGAGGGTCCCTACTCCTCTCAGTGGCAGGCAGCCATGGACGCAGAGATGGCTTCCTGGAAGTCCACAGGCACCTACGTTGACGAGGTTCCCCCACCTGGGGCGAACATCGTCAGTGGCATGTGGATTTTCAGGGTGAAGCGGCCGCCGGGTTCTCCGCCTGTCTTCAAGGCGCGTTACGTGGCTCGAGGCTTCAGTCAGCGAGAGAGAGTTGACTTCTTCCAGACCTTCTCCCCCACCCCGAAGATGACCACTCTTCGGGTGCTGCTGCATGTTGCTGCTCACCGTGACTACGAGCTTCACTCTCTTGATTTCAGCACAGCTTTCTTGCAGGGCAGCCTGCACGAGGAGATCTGGCTGCGCCGCCCCCCGGGCTTCACTGGGTCGTTCCCTCCTGGCACCCAGTGGAGCCTCCGGCGGCCGGTCTACGGTCTCCGCCAGGCGTCACATGAGTGGCACGACACACTGAGGACTACACTTGCGGCTCTTGGGTTCGCGCCTTCTACTGCTGACCCGTCGCTGTTTCTGCGCACCGACACTTCACTGCCGCCATTCTACATCCTCGTGTACGTCGACGACTTGGTTTTTGCCACTGCTGACACTGAGGCTCTCGCCCACGTGAAGTCGGAGCTGTAGAAGAGACACACGTGCACAGACTTGGGTGAGCTGCGCAGCTACCTTGGCTTGCAGATCACCCGGGACAGAGCACGCCGCACCATCACCTTGACTCAGTTACACATGGTGCAGCAGGTCCTTCAGCGCTTCGGCTTCACCTGGTCTTCAGCACAGGCCACTCCTCTGGCTACAGGTCACACGCTCTCAGCTCCACCTTCGGACGAGTCCGTAGAGCCGAGTGGTCCTTACCCAGAGCTAGTCGGCTGCCTCATGTACCTGATGACTTGCACTCGACCTGACCTCGCGTACCCTCTTGGTCTTCTGGCTCGCTACGTGGCTCCTGGTCGGCACCGACCTGAGCACATGGCTGCTGCTAAGAGGGTACTGCGCTACTTGTGCAGCACATCAGGCATGGGGCTAGTGCTTGGAGGGACGAGCCCAGTTGTCCTCACTGGGCACTCAGACGCTTCTTGGGTTGACGACCAGGCTACTCAGCGGTCGTCACAGGGTTACACCTTCAGCCTTGGCTCTGGTTCAGTTTCGTGGCGTTCTACACGCTCGTCTTCAGTTCTCAGCTCCAGTTGTGAGGCTGAGATCTACGCCACAGCCATGGCTGCACAGGAGTTACGCTGGCTCACCTACCTGCTGACTGACTTGGGAGAGCAGCCTCGTTCTCCTCCAGTGCTGTACGTCGACAACAAGGCCGCCATTGCCTTGTGTGAGGAGCACAGACTGGAGCACAGAACGAAGCACATTGCTCTGCGTTACTTCCTGGCTCGAGAGTTGCAGCAGCGAGGCCAGCTTCGTCTTCGTCACGTGGCCACTCGGGCCAACACTGCTGATATATTCACCAAGGCACTTCCGTCTGGTGATCATCAGCGCTTTTGTACCCTGTTAGGCCTTGTGCCTACGTTTCCACACTTGCTGTAGTCTCTGCTTGTACTGTGATCTATATATATACATGCATGCCTGCTCTTGCTAGGTAGTCATCACTGTACTGTTATTGTTGCATATATATCTCTGCATGTGGACTGGCCTTGTGGCCCTTTGCTTGTGCTCAGAATGTGTGGTGACGTTGAGATCCACCCTGAGCTTGCTTTGCTTCTCTTGACTGGTCGTTTGACCCCTTGTTCTCCCCCACTTTGCCTATGGGGGTGTGTCAAACATATATGCTGCATATTGTCTAGGCTGTAGTGGGGTAGCCCATATGGGGTACAGCCCAATTAGGGTTTACTACTTGTACTCCTGCATGTTGCTAGTTCATCCATTCCTGCTGCTAGATTCTGACACGCCCACGTTTTTTCCCCTTGCGACGCCCTGCCCGATTTTTGGCTCCGCTCCCTTCTCGACCCTTCGATTCCCGCGCCTCCGACTCTCCTACACGTCAGCTTATCCCTCGCCCCGCTTCCCTTCCGTTTCGTGCTCCCTGCCAATTTGCTGGTTGCCCTCGCGTCTGGGTTTCTCCACGCCTCTGCTACCACTTGCCGCACGATTGTTTCCCTCAATTGCTCCACGTCACCACTCCTTCTTCTGGTTTCCAGGCCATCCGGAACCCGATGCTATCTCTTCCCTTCGCTGTGATGGCTGGTCGTGGATCCACCCGCCACCCACCGAGCCTTCAGCTCTTACCTCGCTCTGATTACTCTGCCTCCCTGACGCCGTGGATGTTGGTGCTGCGCAGGCGTTCCCCCTTTCGTAAGACCCATCTCCTCCGTTGCCCTCGTCGCTCCCCTTCTCGACCAACATCTATTCCCTCTGCCACCCATTTCGCCTCATTTTCGAGAAACTTCTACCTCGTGGACTCGGGCCGCGGGGTTTAGGGTTTAGGGTTCTGGTCCTAAACTGAAACTGCTCCTGGTCCTTTTTTTCGGAGTTCTCAGCCCAGATCCGCATCGCCTTTTCTTTCTTCACTCTTCCCCGCTTTTCCATCCCACATTTCAGGCGCTTCGGCTCAAATCCGAACCGCCAAAAGTCACCCCTCGGTTTTCCCCGCTCTTCCCACCCTCCTTTAGGACTTTTCAGCCCAGATCCGCACCGCCAAGCGTCCCTCCTCGCTCTTCCCCGCCTTTCCCTCCCTTTCTCCAGGCGTTTAAGCCCAGATCCGAACCGCCTGGAGTTTCCCCTCACCCCCCCCCCCGTTCTTCCCTCCCACTCTTCCATCCTTTCAGGCCAGATCCGCACCGCCCTCTGCTCCCCTCGGCCCTCCTCCCCTCTGCCCATCCATCCCGCCCCGTATGTCCTCTGATGTGCCGAGACGCCCCTCTCCAGATCTGGGAAGATAAAAGCGCATGTTTCCCTGTATGTTCTCATCATCTGCCCCACTTCGCTCTCGTCTCCCTTCAGCCTTCCCTTATGGCCGCCCAGACGCACACCCGGACGACGAGATGGCTCTTGTCGACGAGGAGCTCCAGCTCGACGGAGAGGAGCTCCATTTTGATGAGCTCCCTGCCATCCCGCTCGCTCCCCCCCACGCAGCCGACGAGCCCCCTGCGGCCAAGAAGGTCTGCGTCGAAGGCCCTCCGGCGCCGGCCAGCAGTGTTATGGCGGCTATGGCTGCCCCCCGGCCCGTCAATACCTCGGGCGCCCCCTCTGGCGCCCCTCCCCTTGCAACTGCTGCTCCTGCTCCGCCCTCTGCCTTGCGCAGGACCGCCTCCCCCCCCTCCCGTCTTGGCGCCGCTCTTGGAGCTGGCAGCCCACGCTACCGGCCCCGCGGCCACCCGCATCCTTCGCCGCCCGAGGCCCGGCCCAGTCATGCCCCGCCGCCGCCTCGCTGTGGTCTCGCTCCTTATGCCCGAAACCGGCGCGGACGCTATTCGCGCAGATCTCATCGCCCGCATCACCGCCATGCTGAAGCCGCACTTCTTCCGCCGTGGCTCCGTTCCGGAGTTTGAAGTCGCCACCGGCGAGGCGCTCCGGGTTCCGCGCCGTTCCTATGCTCGGCTCTGCTTTTCGTGGCCTACGGAGGAAGAGGCTGAGGACTTTAAGCGCCTCTTCCCCCGTTCCATCCCCCTTAATGCCTCCCGCTCCGTGCTTCTTAAGGTCTTCGAAGACCGTAACCCTGGCTTCACGGCTGCCAAGGCCGGGGGCGCCGCCACACTGTCGCTCCGCAACATCCGCCCTGGGTATACCCCGGAGGATGTCCGCGAGTTTCTGCTACAAGGCGCGGATCCGGCTGAGCCTGCGTGGCTTGCGGACCTGCAGTTCTTCCATCGCACCACCGACCCGTACGAGGAGGTTTTCCTCCCTGTTTTCACCGGCATCCCTCTCCCCCCCCCCCCCCCCGGATGACCCGACCTTCTCTCGCATCCCTGCTGTCATCCCGTTTGCGGATGACTCCCCCCCTGCCCTCCTCAACATCTCCACCCACGTGTGTGCTCACTGTGGGAACAACCATCGTGGCTCTGACCACGAGACCTTCGCCTTCAAGAGCAAGCAGCGCCTGAACAACAAGATTCAGATTTCTGTTGCCCAGTTGCAGTAGACTAATGGTACGTTCACCCCCCCTTTCCCCCTCGCTCACAACCCCCCAATAACGCTTTTCGCCCGCTGCCGCCCTTTTCTCACGCGCCCCTCTTCGTCCAACTTTGCAATTGTACCCCTCTCCTGGTCCCTCTGCCTTGCGCTGTCATCCCTCTGCTCAATTTCGCTGTGGCATGCTCCCGTTCTGCTCTCGAACCAATCCCCCCCCCTCTCCTCCCCCGTCTCTCTAGTCTACTCACCCCTTGACACTTGTAGGCCGTCTCTCCTCGTGATTGCATCAACCAGGTTCTATGCTCCCGGCCCCCTGGCCCGCCCCCCTACACGTCCCCACCTGCCCTTCCCTTCCGCTGCATTTCCCCCCATCTGGCGCCATGCCTCGCTAGTGTGGAAGAATTCTGCGTCACTTTCCCCTCTCCCTTGCACTCGTCTCCCATTTTTTCTCTCACTTTGCTTGCTCCCTTCTCTTTTCGCTCCTCTCACCCCTTCCCTCAGGCCAAATTCTCGGGGCACGTCCTGCTCCCGATGCTTTCCGCAAGGACCCCGGCCTCCTCTACATTGGGCTCGACACCGAAGTCGAGCCCTGGACCTGTGTCCTCTGCAACTTCGCCTGTGGCCCTGCCCTCGACTCAGCCATGGAGCACATGGCCTCCGAGGCTCATGCCTCCAACGTGCGCGCTGCTGCCAAGGGCCCTGCTACGAAGGAAAAGTACAGCAACTAGAGGGCCCTTACCTTCCTGGCTACCCCCCAGATTGCGGCATTTCTCTCCCAGTGATTCCACCCTGCTTATGTGATCTTGGTTCACCTCCTACTGTTTTCCATTTATGCCATTGGAATGTACCTGCCATGTACTTTCACGATAATCTAATATATGTGCTAGGAACATTCAATCACGTGTGCCGCCTTGCCCATACTCGTTTTAATGATCCGCTCGCTCTGAACACATGCGTACAGTGGTTGCATTCCTTCCTGCCTCATTCATTGAGCTTTTTTACATGCACAAATATTTTCTCCCTATCGTGTCGTATGGCCCGTGGATGCGTGTACCTTGGTGCATGTCGGGCTCCATTTCCGTTACCATGATTGCTCAGCTGAAAATATTATGCCTCAATGTCAATGGTCTCAACGCACCCTATAAAATGAATGCGCTTAAGAATTGGATCTCAACTCAAGGCAACAAACCTGACATCCTTGTCTTGATCGACACACGTCTCATCCTTAACCTCTCAAAACTGTCCCTACGCTTCCGGCCACATGCTTCTGCCCATGCGATTGCTACCTACCCTCCCGGTAATGCCTTGAGGTCTCGTCCCCCCCCCGGTGGAATCTCTGTCCTCTCTTTTAACAAGGCTGTCTCCTTCTCGTCTTCCTCCCCATCTATAGATGGTCGACTCCTTTCTGTCGACATCAACTTCCTGCATCCTTCTCGTCTTCCTCCCCATCTATAGATGGTCAACTCCTTTCTGTCGGCATCAACTTCCTGCATGAACAAATCCGATTAATCGCCATATATGCCCCTCCGCATGCTACGACCCGCCGCGTCTGGTGGCGAAGCATCCTCACCCCGGCTCTCGAAGCCCCCTCTGCCGCTGCATGCACAGTTCTTGCTTGCGACTTCAACTCGGTCGTCCTCCTCGAGGACCGCAACCGCACTCTGCACGGTCATGAGCAGAGTGAAGCCGCCTCATTCTCGAACCTCCTGTCCTCCCAGTCCCTCCTTGACTCGTTCCGCGCCCTCCACCTCGCCTCCACCCTCTTCTCCTATATTGGCCGGCAGCGACTCACTGTACTTCCGCCTCCCCCCCCTCCGGCCGCTCGTCTGGACCGCATCTACGTGTCCACCACCTTCCTCTCCCGCCTCCGTGCAGCACACTACCTCCTCACCCCTAACCTCATCTCGGACCACCTATTCGCCCCATTTTGCTCTCTTAGTTTTGACAACCCCATCATGGCCCCCCGGCCGTGGAGGCTCAGTGCCTCCTTGCTGCGCCGCCCACACATAACCCACATCCTAGATACGCAGCTCCTTCGCCTCCCCCCCCTGCCGACTCCAAATGACTGGGACCACTGGAAACAGCAGCTCTCCCTCCGTCTCAAATGCTTCTCTAACCAGGAGCGGCGTCGTGTCTCAGGAACCATGGACCACTTACGCCACCTTATTGGTTGCCTCCAAACCCAAGCTGCCTGTTCCGCACTGAACATGGAAGAAAACGCCCTCCTCAGCAAAGCTCGACTACAACTCATGAAATATGAAGCTTCCAAAACCGTAGAGCTAGCCCTCAAAACCAAGCTCAAGGTCGACGGCCATCGCGAAATGGGCCTCTCTTCGCTACTTGCTGGCCTCAATGCTCGCATCAAAGCCTCGCTCATCTCGTCTCTTACTCTGTCGACTGGTGAAATCTCCTCCCACCTCCCGTCAATGTCCGCGGAATGCACCAGCTACTTTCAACACTTATACTCCGGCTCCTCGCCTGTCGTCCCTAACCCCTCCTTCTGGAGACATATCCCCCGCTCCACCCTGCCCGACTCGCTTGCCCGTCTCTTGCATTCTCCCTTCTCCCTCTCTGAAATCGGGAAAGCTCTTTGACAACTATCTCGAGGAAGAACTCCTGGCCCGGATGGTCTCCCTGGTGAACTCTTTCGATCGTTCGCTCCTCGGTTTGCCCCAGCCTTCCACTCTTTGATTGGCTCACAACCCCCCCCCCCCCCCCCCCGCGCTACCTCCGTCCATGCTCTCCGGTCGTACTGTTCTTATTCCCAAGAAGGGCGACTCTACACTCGTAGAAAACCTCCGACCCATCACGCTCATGAACTCCGACTACAAGGTGCTTGCCTTATGCCTCGCCAATCACCTTCAACGCGTGCTTCCGCACATTATTCACCCATCCCAGACTGCCTTTATTAAACGTCGTAAAATCGGCGACACTATCAACGATCTCTTGATATTATGGATTGGGCTTCGTACTCCCGCACCCCCCTCCTCGCTCTCACTGTCGACTTTCGTAAAGCATACGATCTCGTTGACCGAGATTTTCTCCTGCAGTCTCTTTCCCACCTGGGCCTGCCCTCACCATTTGTCCACTGGGTGCGCCTCATGCATTCCGGCACCTCCACGTGCATTGCCGTCAACAACCTTGCGGGCCCGCTCTTTCCCGTCCACACTGGTGTTCGCCAGGGCTGCCCACTGGCTCCCCTCCTCTTTGTCTGTGTCATTGAGATTTTCCATCGGTATATGTCCCTATACCTTCCAGGTTTTCCCTTGTCTCCTGTATCTCGCCGTCTCATGGCCTGCTATGCGGACGATGTGACCATCTTCCTCTCGTCGAACGATGAACTCGGTTCCGCTGTCTCTCACCTCCTGACTTTCGCTTTAGTTTCTGGGGAATCCCCAAATTGGAACAAATGCTCCATTATCCCCTTCAACATCTCCTCGTCGCTACTCACGAATGCGGGGCCCATCCCCATTCGTGCTCCTGATGAGGCTGACGCATCCTCGGAATCTTCGTTGAAAAAGATAACCCCGGCGCCACAACCTGGGCGACAACCCTCGCGAGAGTCCAACGCTCCTCCAGGTACCTTGCGTCCCTGCGGGCTACTGCCACGTGCCGCAAAACCCTTGCGTCAGTTTTCCTCAACTCTACCCTATCCTTCCCCGGCCGCTTCCAGCCTGCGCCGCCTGACACCCTTACACGCCTCGATACCACCGTCGGCAATTTCCTATCCTCCTCCCGCTACAAGGAATCTGGCCTAGCAGTTCGCCTTATCCCTCGCCGACTTCTCTTCAACTCCCTCCGAGACGGGGGTCTTGGTGCCATTGCGCCTTCCACACAGATCCGCGCCCTCTCCATCCAACGCGCGCTACGACGATTCGGGGTGTCCCCCTCTGAGGAATGTCGTCGCTCTCCCCTTCGGCACCCATGCTTTCCTTTCCCACCCAGCAATTCTTCACCCTAAGGTTCTGTCCCCGTCTATCCCCCAACGTGCTCTCGCAGAACTCCGCGCCTTTTTGTCTATGTCACCCACTGTCCTACCCCCTCGAATGTCACCTCTCTGCCTGCTTGCCGAACCCACAGCCTTCAATCGCTTCATCCTTAAACCCAACGGAAAGCCCTTCGGCCTTATCCGCCGTGAAAAGTTCCTACTTACACAGCAGGTCCGCCTTGGCGACATTTGCAATGCTACGATCAATGGCTTGGAACCCATCCCTCCGGAAGTCTTCGCTGTCAAGTTCCCACCCTCCCGTTTTCAATCTGGTCGTCGTGTCCTACGCGAACTCGTTGCGGCTATCCCCCCTTCTTGGTCGTCAGCGCTCCGTGCCCCCACCAGTGCTGCGGCATCGCCTGGGGATTGGCTCATCCTTTCTCAGGAACTCCACTCCAACCCTACCCTTGCATTGCAGGTCTCCTCCTTCACCCCGCCGCACACTCTCTCTGTGACCTTCTTCCGGATCCTTCCACACAGTCTCATCGATCGGACCCCCATCGGCTCCGGCATTGTTCACATTAAGAACGTTGCGGCCATGCATACCCTGGATCGCTGGGTGGCAGGGCCGTTCCATACAGGTGCAGGGCTAGGCGCGCGCTTGGAGCTTCTTCACGACGGCTTCCCAGATCTCGCATCCATCCGTCGTCTTCTCTACTCGCAGCAGCAGCTGGACCACGAGCTTCGTTGGACACGCGCACTCACATCCTCTCCTCCTTTTTTTCCTAACCTCACCCACTACTTTCTTCGGGAGCAACCCAGCCTGCAACTTGACCTCCTTTTCCGCCTCTATACCCGAACCCTCCCTTTAGGCGTGCGGTTCTAGTTCGCCAATGACAGGGGTCGCTGCTCTCTTTGTGCATCTGGAGAACTTGAGACCATCTCTCACATCTTCCTCACCTGTGGTATTGCTCCAGCTGTTATATCCTCGCTTGGCTCGGTTGCTCGACGTCACCTCGGCTGTTCGCCCCCGGATGAGCTTCTCCTTTTTCCTCTCCGTGAGAAAGTTGGACAATCCGCTCCCTGGAGTCTTCTCGTCGGCGCGGCTGCCAAGGGAATCTGGAATGCACGGTGTGAAAGAAAGTTCCACGAGTCATCTTCCACCAAGTTTGAAGCACTTCAATTAATCCTCGCTCAGTTCCTCCTTGCCTTCAAGATCTTTCTATGGAGAAGGTCCGCTCAGTCTGCTAAGAAACAACAACGTTCTGCCTCCCGCATCAGGATCGCCATACGCCTCCGTTTCATTTGTTTTGACGCCTCAGGCATCCCCTCTATCCATCCTGCCCTTCGTGCCTCGTGGCTACTTGGCAACCCCTTCCGCCCCCCATAGCCGCTGCCCTCATCATAGAGCGCTCTCCCACGACGGCTGGGGGATATCCCTTCGGGGGTAGGGAAATAACGTGTTGTAACGTACTCCTTATAGGTAGTTGGTCCTTTGACCATATTCCCTGCTTGCTCTATGCATGTTTGTAACAGGTCACGACCTTAATATAACCTTAACCTTAACCTGCTCTCAATAGAAATCTACCATTATTATGTACAGGCTACACCTCTTAAAGCAACGGGCAACTTTTGGCAGTGTTGGGTTCAGAAGTTTTTTTTTTGAACCAGGCTTGCCAGCGCGAAAGTGTTGGCTGGCGAAAACCAGGATTTCGTGCAGACACTTTTCATCTGCAGTAACAGTTCGCCAGGGTTCTGGGTTTTGGGTGGCAAATGTGCACCGTCGCTTTAAGTAATTAACAAATCAATGTTTCCAGCGTGGCTCCTAGTCATGACACCCACATCAGATGTCAACACTGTCCACCATGTCCCCTGACGTGGCGAGGCGGCCATTGCTGCAGCTCGGCACTCATGTGGTCCCCCATTCCGTCCTTGCCGCCGCTTGCGTAGCGATTTGCGCTGCGGGCACACGACACAGCATTCGCAATAATCTCCGAGCAGCTACGAACACATCGAATCCTCGCACGCACTGCCCCGCCACATCGCCTAAATGTCCCCCACCTGCCTTGCTGCTGCCGCTGCGGTCCTTCGTCGGAGCTCTCGGAGTCGCCATGCGCGTGCACGCTTTGCGCTTCCCCCGGGAATACTTCCCCCGAGCAGCGACGGGCCTCTCGCCCCCACTCGCCCCGAGAGTGCCGCTAGTGGCGCTCAGACCGACGGACCCGTCGCATCCCCTTCGCTTCTCCGCGCGCTTCATTCGACGGTTGAGTCCACTCAGCTTTCCGCCCCTCATGCCTCCGCCCCTCATCCCTCCGGCTCCGCCCCTCATGTCTCGCGTTCCTTCTCAACTGCCGCGCTGTCGCCCCTCGCCGCGGGGTTGAGCACGAGCGCCGCCAGCAGCGTTCCCCTGCCCGTGCAGCACGGAGCGTCAACGATGCGCGCCGCCGTGATGCGCGAGGTGGGCGCGCCGCTGCGCGTGGAGCTGCTGCGCATCCCGCGCCCCCAGGCGGGCGAGGTGCTCATCAAGACGCGCGGTGAGCCCTTCCGCCCTGCGCGACACGCTCATGTGGGGAGGGGGCGGAAGGCGGGTGGAGGCGATATGACGTCGTGGCGTTCGAGCTTCAACCGCCCATTGCGCTTCCCCCATTCACTACCTCTTTCCCAAACCCACTCCCCCGCTTAACACAATTCTGCCGCTCCCCTTTTCCTTTTCGCTTCCCCCCACGTCGTCGCCCGCAGCGTGCGGCGTGTGCCACACGGACCTGCATGTGATGCGCGGGCACGTGGCGTTCCCCGCGCCCTGTGTGCTGGGCCACGAGGTCAGCGGGGAGGTCGTGGACCATGGCGCTGGCACTGATGCCGCCACCATCGCCAGGTGCGCCTCAACGCATGGCATGGCCTGGGAGGGTGCAAGGAGGGTGCAGCACAGTGAGCAAGCACGCCGGATGACTGTGCTCGCGACTTGAGGTTCCCGCACTCGCCTGCTCTTATTGTGCCCAGAGCGAGTACCACTGCTGTACCACGGTGATGCCTGCTGCACTCGCCCTCCATGTGCCGCTTACCATGCTCCCTCCTCTCATTCCTGCCCCACGCCACACGTCTATGCCCCTTGCTCCCTGCTCCCTGCCCCCACCTAACCCCGTGCCTGTCATGACCACGTGCACGCACGGGGCGAGCAGGCTGCCAGTGGGGTCACGAGTGGTGGCGGCCTTCATCATGCCCTGCGGCTCCTGCTTCTTCTGCACCTATGTCAGTCACCCATGCCATGCCACACCATGCCACGCCATGCCATTCCTGCTGCATGCATGCGCCCCACCCATGCCACACTCCATCCTCCCCTCACGGCCTTCCTCCCCACGCCTCTCATCCCGTGTGCGCACATGGCAGGGGCAGGAGGACATATGCTCCACCTTCTTTGCATTCAACCGCCTGCATGGCACGCTCTACGATGGCCACACACGCCTCTTCTCCGCCCACCCCTCTGGTGACCGCATGCCTGCCTACCTGCCAGGGACGCTCCTCTTGTGGTGCTAGTCAGCCAGGGCTGAAGCAGGCCAGGTCGTAGGGGAGCAGGCCAGGTCGTAGGGGAGCAGGCCAGGTCGTAGGGGAGCAGACCAGGTCGTAGGGGAGCAGGCCATGGTCGTAGGGGAGCAGGCCAGGTCGTAGGGGAGCAGGTCATGGTCGTAGGGGAGCAGGCCAGGTCGTAGGGGAGCAGGCCATGGTCGTAGGGGAGCAGGCCATGGTCGTAGGGGAGCAGGCCAGGTCGTAGGGGAGCAGGCCATGGTCGTAGGGGAGCAGGCCAGGTCGTAGGGGAGCAGGTCATGGTCGTAGGGGAGCAGGCCAGGTCGTAGGGGAGCAGGCCATGGTCGTAGGGGAGCAGGCCATGGTCGTAGGGGAGCAGGCCAGGTCGTAGGGGAGCAGGCCATGGTCGTAGGGGAGCAGGCCAGGTCGTAGGGGAGCAGGCCAGGTCGTAGGGGAGCAGGCCAGGTCGTAGGGGAGCAGGCCATGGTCGTAGGGGAGCAGGCCATGGTCGTAGGGGAGCAGGCCATGGTCGTAGGGGAGCAGGCCAGGTCGTAGGGGAGCAGGCCAGGTCGTAGGGGAGCAGGCCAGGTCGTAGGGGAGCAGGCCAGGTCGTAGGGGAGCAGGCCAGGTCGTAGGGGAGCAGGCCAGGTCGTAGGGGAGCAGCATTGCGCTGACAGAAACACAGCTGTGTGCGCTCGTTGTCACTCCTCGCACATTCTGCAACACACCTGCTCACACCCAACCCCGCCTATCCACCCAACCCCCCTCCCTCCTCCTCCCTACAACCCCTCTTACCCCCATCGCTCCCCTCTTCCCCCCCCCCCCCCCAGCGGCCCCCCTGGCGATGTACAGCATGGGCGGGCTGGCGGACTACTGTGTGGCGCCCGCCTCCGCCGTGGCGCCACTCCCCCCCGCGCTGCCGCTGCCCGAGGCGGCCGTCATGGGGTGTGCGCTCTTCACTGCCTTCGGAGCGCTGCGCCACGCGGGGGACGTGCGGGCAGGCGACACCGTGGCGGTGGTGGGGGCGGGTGGCGTGGGCGGCAGCTGTGTGCAGGTGGCGCGCGCCATGGGGGCCGCGAGCATCGTAGCGGTGGACGTGGCGGAGGGCAAGCTGCAGCGCTGCCGTGCGCTGGGCGCCACGCACACCGTCAATGCTGCCAAAGAGGACGTGGTGGAGGCCATCAGGGTGGGTGCACCTTGCTGCTGTCTCACGGGTGGGGTATAGTGTGTGGTGCGGCTCATGTGGTTTCCTCAGCCCCCATGGTTCACTCTCTTGCCCCTTGTGTACCTCATGTGTGTTTCACGTGTGCCCCATCTCCCCCATTCCCTCTGCCAGGCCATAACGGGCAGCATGGGGGTGGACGTGGCGGTGGAGGCGTTGGGGCGGGCGGAGACGTTTGGGCAGACGGTGCATGCAGTGAGGGACGGGGGCAGGGCGGTGATGGTGGGCATTGCTGCTGCCGGCACCACCGCTGCTGTCGACATCACCCGACTCGTGCGCCGCAATGTCCGTCCTCACCTCCACCCGCACATGGCTTTCACCCGCCCGCACATGCCCCACCCACCCGCACATGCCCCACCCACCCGCAGATGCCCCACCCACCCGCACATGCCCCACCCACCCGCACATGCCCCACCCACCCGCACATGCCCCACCCACCCGCACATGCCCCACCCACCCGCACATGCCCCACCCACCCGCACATGCCCCACCCACCCGCACATGCCCCACCCACCCGCACATGCCCCACCCACCCGCACATGCCCCACCCACCCGCACATGCCCCACCCACCCGCACATGCCCCACCCACCCGCACATGCCCCACCCACCCGCACATGCCCCACCCACCCGCACATGCCCCACCCACCCGCACATGCCCCACCCACCCGCACATGCCCCACCCACCCGCACATGGCTTTCACTCCCGCACATGGCTTTCACTCCCGCACATGGCTTTCACTCCCGCACATGGCTTTCACTCCCGCACATGGCTTTCACTCCCGCACATGGCTTTCACTCCCGCACATGGCTTTCACTCCCGCACATGGCTTTCACTCCCGCACATGGCTTTCACTCCCGCACATGGCTTTCACTCCCGCACATGGCTTTCACTCCCGCACATGGCTTTCACTCCCGCACATGGTATTCAGTCCCACACATGGTATTCAGTCCTACACATGGTATTCAGTCCCACACATGGAATTCAGTCCCACACATGGTATTCAGTCCCACACATGGTATTCAGTCCCCCACATGGTATTCAGTCCCGCACATGGTATTCAGTCCCACGCATGGTATTCAGTCCCACGCATGGTATTCAGTCCCACACATGGTATTCAGTCCCACACATGGTATTCAGTCCCCCACATGGTATTCAGTCCCGCACATGGTATTCAGTCCCACGCATGGTATTCAGTCCCACACATGGAATTCAGTCCCACACATGGTATTCAGTCCCACACATGGTATTCAGTCCCACATGGTATTCAGTCCCCCACATGGTATTCAGTCCCGCACATGGTATTCAGTCCCACACATGGTATTCAGTCCCACACATGGTATTCAGTCCCACACATGGAATTCAGTCCCACACATGGTATTCAGTCCTACACATGGTTTTCAGTCCCACACATGGTATTCAGTCCCCCACATGGTATTCAGTCCCGCACATGGTATTCAGTCCCGCACATGGTATTCAGTCCCCCACATGGTATTCAGTCCCGCACATGGTATTCAGTCCCGCACATGGTATTCAGTCCCGCACATGGTATTCAGTCCCACACATGGTATTCAGTCCCACAAAATGGTATTCAGTCCCCCACATGGTATTCAGTCCCACACATGCTTCTCTGCTGCTGCACCCCCGACTTCACTCCTGCCTGCGACTTTCCCTTCCCACCCGCATGCTTCCATCCACCCCCCTTTCCTTCCCCCCACCCTGCAGATCAAGATCATAGGGTCATACGGGGCCAAGGCACGGTCGGACCTGCCAGCGGTGGTGGCGCTGGCAGCAGCGGGGAGGGTGGACGTGGTGTCCAGTGTCACGGAGCGCTACTGCCTCGAGGATGCGGACAGTGCCTACTGCAAGCTGGAGAAGGGCAACGTGCTGGGCCGGGCCATTGTAGACATGACTCTCTGATGCACTGCTGCCAACATATACAGCCTTATGGAAACATGTGTCCATCAAAGTTGCTTCCTGTTCACGCGTAGGTTTCTCTGTTCAGCGTGCAATGTTTTGGAGTGATATGTAATCGAAGAGGAAGCCACTTGCCTTGGGAAACACATGCTTTTGCACTTTTTGTAAAAACCATTACACCAGGAGAACTGAACTGAAATGCTGCTGAAACGATGGGAGACAACTGGCCTTCTTTACATCTGTGCGGGGCATGCAGCATGCTCGCACAGCGCCAGCACCACGTGCCCTTTGGGCTGTGGCGCCTGTGGCACTTCGCCCTCCACCTCCTCACAGCACTCCATTCACAAACATATGCACAACCACACAAAACACCGACTATCCACGTCTTCAGCACCAGAAGCACAAGGTAAGAAAAAAACCCGCCTGCACTTGAGCAGATGCACCCAGGCACGGCCGCCTTGCAGCCTCCACCCAGCACGAGTGTCACGCAGCGTCCATCACCTCCCCTTCGCCCCGGGCTCATGACTCGTCCCAGTGCTCGTCTCTCTGCCCTGCCGCGCACCAGAGGGCGCTGCAGGGCTTCAGAGCATCCCGGGCTCCACACGGGCCACAGGGGTCCTCAGGGGAGGGTCGACACGCACATCCAGACACACCTCTGCTGCTGCTGCTGCTGCTGCTGCTGCTGCTGCCGCCGCCGCAGTGTGTCCATGTGTCGGGTTGGTACCTGCAGGGAGGCTCGTGGGAGCGCCTGCACCTGTGCTTTACAGGGAGTGTGGCGTGGCGCCCCCCGAGCTGCTGCCGTACAGCCCGCGCGCGCCGAAGCCAGCGGAGAGGCGCGGGCTGGTAGAGGAGGTGGTGCGCGCCCAGCTGGGCAGCTGCCACCCCACGTGCAGGCGCTTCAGCGTGTACTCGTCGTCGGGGCAGTGCGGGCGCGACACGCGGAGGGACTTAAGCGCGGGGCGGCAGCAGCGCGTGAGGCGCACGATGTCGTCGCGCATCAGCTGCTTGCACCCCGCCACGCTCGCCTCCTTCACCGCGCGCGCCTCCGCCAGCGCCGCTGCGAGCCCCGCGGCGGTCAGCTTCAGGCAGGCGGGCAGGGAGAGCGAGGCGAGCGCGGGGCAAGCGCCGACCAGCGCGAGAAGCCCCTCGTCGGTCACGCCGCACGACGGCAGCGCCACGGTATCGAGCGCCGCGCAGGTGACGCCGTCAAACGCGGTGGCCTTGACGTCCGCGCACGCCTTCACGGAGAGCGCGCGCAGCCGCGCACACCCCGCCAGCAGCCGCTGGATGCCCTCGTCGCTGACGTGGCAGTTGCTGAGGTGTATCTCCGTGAGAGCGGGGCAGTTGGCGGCCACCGAGTGCAGCACGGCGTCCGTGACGAGCTCGCCGTTCATCCGCAGCAGCGCCAGCTGCGGCAGCCCGCCTCTGAACGTGTGCGCGCCCGCCGCGCCCACCGCCGTGCCCGTGAGCACCAACTCGCGCAGCTTCTTGCAGCCGGCGATGACGGGCGACAATCCCTCGTCGGCGACGGCGTCGCACGCGTGCATGTCCAGCACCTCCAGCGACGGGCACCCGCGCGCCAGCCCCGCCACGGCGCCGCTGTCCACCTGGCGGCTGCCGCGCAGGCTCAGCACGCGCAGCTTGCGGCAGCCCGCGGCGAGCGACGAGAAGGCCTCGCGCGAGAGCTGGTGCGTCTCCCCCGCGCCGTAGTCGAGATAGAGCTCCTCCAGCTGCCGGCTGTGACGGCCCAGCGCCGTCAGGCCGTCATCGCTGACGTCCACGACGCCCAGATGCAACAGGCGCAGCTGCGGACACCCCGCCGCCACCTGCGCGACGCCGGCGCCCGTGACGCGCTTGCAGTGCTTCACGTCGAGGTGCTGCAGCGCCTGCAGCCCCGCGCCGAGGGCGGCGAGCGCGGCGTCCGTGATGTCCGTGAAGGACAGGTCGAGCTCCTCCAGACGCCGGCAGCTCTGCGCAATGTGCGCCACCACGGCGTCCGTAAGATGCGGCACGGAGCGGAGGCGCAGCTTGAGCAGGCGAGGCAGGTGCGAGCCCAGCGCCATGAGCGAGTGGTCGGGGCCCTTGAAGGCCGGCAGGGAAAGAATGGAGAGGTTCGGACAGCCGCGAGCGAGAGCGACGAGTCCGGTGCCATCAGCGGCCTTGCAGGTCTCGGGCACGTGCAGCTCGAGCAGACGCGGACACAGACGGCCGATGCTGGCCAGGGAGTCCTCGGAGCAGTCGAAGAGGAAATTCAGGTTCAGCACCGCGAGCGACGGGAACCTCGCCAAGAGCTTCGGGAGCTTGGATGCCTGCGGAATTCAAAATGACAACGGGAGTAAGCGTACGAACAAGTGCCTGGTGTAAGGAAGAGGTGACGACAATGCGGGAGGCATGAATTACCTTGAGACCACTCAGAGAGAGGGTCGAGCAAGCCAGGCCGGAGGATGCCAGCCATTGCCGGCTAACGAGCGACGCTGCTCTCAAATGTGCTCTCCTTCCCGTATCTTGCTTCTCCAAATTCTGTAACGCGTTAACAGAAACGACGTTAGAAGGTTGAGATTAAAAACGACGATAATTGACAGAAACGCCTGAAACAACATGTATATACCTTGAGAATTTCGACGAGAAGCTCGCCAGGCAAGTCGTCGATGCGACATGAACTGGACGGAGGGGACGCCGCTGATGGCGAGGAAAAGGCGTCAACCTCGAAAATCATGCCGATTAGTAGGAGAAGAAAAGCTGTAGAGCGAAGCGTCGACCAGAGCGTCACTAGATTCTACGAAAAATAACGGGCCAATCCGTAAATCCTTCACACACTCATCTGGTCAGGCTGGCTTTAGGTGACAAATTAGGAGAAACTAACCAGGGAACGTTGGAGGCGGAATGTGTGAATGCGTTAGCTGAGAGGGCGAGCAGCCAAATACGCGTGGGGGGGAGACGAATGCTGCAGCTGCGCTCTGCTGCGTTGGCCCGCCAGGCAGGGGGGACGAACAGCACAACCCTGCTTCCCCAGTGGTTTGGAGCGACTACGTGTACATCCCAAGTTCAGTCAGGTTCGGTGCCGGTTCGGACAAAGCAAAGGGGGCAGCCTGGCGAAATCCAACGATCACGTGCGGGGAGCTGCCCCTTGTGGAAGCATTCCGACTCACGTGCTGGCGTCCCTGCTGGTTGGCTGAAATATCAGCGTTCTCCCGAACCTTCTTGCCACGAAGGCAGGCGAGTCCAGATTCGGCCCCTTCTGTTCGCGGGCAGACAGTACGGGACGAAAAAAAAAGCAGGTGCCTTATCTCATTTCCAAGTGCGAAGGGCAATCCAGCCTGGCTGATGTTACTGACATGTCATCAAGTGCCTTGTCCCGTGTCATCCTAATGTGTTGCTGGCTTTTTATTGGCCAAAATACGTGACACTTTTTCTAGAGCACGCAGATTGGGGACACATCACCCCAAAGCACGATTAATGTGTTCATGAACAAACATTTTCCTGACCGTGCCCTCCTCAATAGACTAGACTCAATTTCTGCAGTTGCCTGACTTCGATACACCTGCTGCTTTTTATCTCAGCCACCTACAGTTCACGTCTCACACCCGTAACGCAACTGCGTGTACGAGTGATTACAGCGCACCCACATTCCTAGGTGTCAGCGAGCCAATGATCCAGTAAAATCACGAGTCGTTCGCCCATACGTATCGTGCTGCGGAGCTTTCGCGGTGGCGATGCTCCGATCAGCGGTCATTACGCGATCCCAGCAGATCAAACAAGCTGTCGGGCGCCAATTTGCGTCCGCCGCGGCAGCAGCTGCTGAAAGTGCAGGGAAGAGCAAGGCGAAAGCGAAGTCGGCGGGAGGAAGCAGCGGCGGGAAGAAGAAAGCTTTGGAAGACCAAGGGAAGGCGGCTTCCATTGTAGAGGCGGCGCTTCGCCATGCTCAAATAGAAGTGGTGAGAGTTATAGTGAGGGCATAACCGTGCAGCTGTACGAAATGGGTGAGGGAACCAGGAACGTGGCTTTGGCTGGTCGTTGAAGCGTTGTTGTTCTTCGAGCACCCGATGCATCCTTCGTCCGATGCTCTTAGGGTTATCGTTTCCTTTGAATGTTGCTTCGACCGCTGCTTCACGGATCTGAGCGATCCAATCAGCAGTCCACCCCCACTACCCACAAACCCTTAATGAATTTATGCTGCCTCCCGCTCCACCCACCCACTTCGGGCCGTCTCTCACTTCTCTCGCCCCTCACTCAATCGCTATCCATATAACGCCCTACCCTTTTCTTTGCCAAGCAGCCGAATCTGGATGAGGCTACTCAGGCGGAGGAGATGCTGATGGCGAAGGAGTACTCGAGGTTGATGATGCAGAAGCACCACCAGCAGAGAGGGGCCGAGTCAGCCAGGCTCAAGCTCAAGCTGGCAGCCATCCAAGCCCTACCTGCTGGCAAGCTTAGGGATGCTGCCATGCTTCCAGATTTCACTCCCTTTCCATCCAATCGTATTGCACCATCTCTCACCCCTCCAATTAAGGAATTGCAAGAGGAAAGAGCAAGGGCTAGCGACCAGCAGGTAGTAAGAAAAATTAGGTAGAAACATTCTGAAACTGCTCTAGCTCTCCATGACTTCTGCTGTGATCTGTCACAAAGGTTCTGAGTACAGCAAGGGCAATCTTCAATAACAGGTGGGAAAGGGTTTATGATTACTTGTGACTCAACTGAACAAACTTTTCAGTCACGCATGAAAATGTGCATACAAGTAGGCCTCATCTGTCAAGTTATATTATATCCTGCTTACGATAGTTACTGTAGTTATTATAATGAACTGTTGGTGGTACACCTTCTTGTTAGAATAGTAGCCTTAGGGTTTGGGGTAGCGTGAGCGAGAGAAACAGGAAGGTGCGGTTCACTACAGCAAGGTTACAAGATATAGCAAAGAAAGGTGAGCACATTGGTGCACCACCACTGTAGCTACACTAGAACACACAGCAAGCAGGGTATATAACAAAACTTAACACACCCCCTTA